GTAGCTACGGGCCCCGCACTTTCAAGGGCCCCGCGCTAAATGCTTTCAAGCTATCAATTCCGGTTCAGTGATTCTGCACTTGCTCTATTACTATAGTACAATACCGCCTTCAACTTTTATGAACGACCGGGAGTTTAAGGTTAGCGATTTGTCGTATTATCTGGCCGTATAGCAAATGAAAACATACAATTACTTTACTATTCAAGTTAAACATTTGTATTTTTATATTTATGTGTGTTTATTTATTTAGGGCTCCTTCATAACATCATCACATGCTACAGGCCCCGCACTTAACTTAATCCGGCACTGCCCCCCACCTAAGTAAAACCGAAAAAATAATAATCTGTGGGCCTACACTCCCCTCCCTTTCTCCCTCCGCTTCCTGCACCCTGTCGATTTACAAACTCCTTCTCGTGAGATGACAGAAGAGATTGGAAGCACCTCAATGCAGTACAACCGGAGTCTGAATCTTGATTCACAATGGAAGGAATCCTATGAGCTATGAAGCTCTTTATTTCACTGATTTCCAGTTCCACCGTTCATGCAATCTTCCAGCAAACGCTTTAGAATGGTATCCCTTCATGCAGATGAGTGTATTTAAAAGTAATACAGTGGAGTTTACAACCATTATCTACGCTGTCTCTCTTCTGGCCTCTATTTATGTCGCTATTAAGAAGGGGCGTTGCCCGAAACGTCGCACAAGCGCATATGCTTTCCGCTTAAGAAAGCTGTGTTCAGAAGTGATATTGGACAAGTCAATGGTCAAAAGCGACGTCCTGAGAGTGTTGTTTACCTCCCCCGAGCCAATGGTGGAAACTCCACGTTCCTATGGTGGGGGCCGAGTGCATCCAAGAGGACAGCCACTGGTGACCTCACCCAGAAAGTGGCGATCACGGAGACGAGATGCGGAGGCGTAGCGGGGACGGGATAAGTGTCTGCAAATGTCGGCAAATGTCGACGTGCAGAAACGGATATGCAAGATGCAGGATGGAATTCAGAGAGACGCAAACGTGCATTTGGACGCGAGGCGAGAGATGCAGACAGGACATAGGTACGAGAGATCAATCACCTTTTTTTTCTAAAACAAATATTTAATTGTGAATTCTGAGTTCGAGATGCTGGTTGGTTCACCCTCAAAATTATCGTGGATTAGTGGTGACCTTTGAGCCACTTTGGGGACACTTTGGCTTTGCTCAGTTTCCTTGCATACGTCTGGCGTCCAACACCGACAACTACGTCTTGTTTTATACAAAGGAGGATGTGCGCATGTATGTTGAACTTCTTTCGCACCGTACGTAGCCCGGCCGTGCTCATCCTATGAGTGCAATCCTATAATCCGCGTTTACCTGCAGAAGAAGAGTCACACAGAAGCGGTTTTTTTTCTGTCTGTGATTTTAAAATAAATGTAAAACTCATCCTATAATCCGTGTGATTTTTTTCTCGCGCGTTCATTTTCGCCGATGAACTGCAGACGAAAGTGATCTCATTTGTCGGAGTTTCAGCGCGTAAAAAACCCCTCGAAAAACGTATCATTGCAGATGTGCACGATGTATCATCATGAACGCGGTGTGTACATGGCGTGTATGCGTGGTGTGTATGCGTGGTGTGTGTGTGTGGTGTGTATGCGTGGTGTGTGTGTGGTGTGTATGCGTGGTTTGTATGCGTGGGGTGTATGCGTGGTGTGTACATGGTGTGTATGCGTGGTGTGTGTGGTGTGTGTGCGTGGTGTGTATGCGTGGTGTGTACATGGTGTGTATGCGTGGTGTGTGTGTGGTGTGTATGCGTGGTGTGTGTGTGTGGTGTGTGTGTGTGGTGTGTGCGTAGTGTGTATGCGTGGTGTGTGTGTGGTGTGTATGCGTGGTGTGTGTGGTGTGTGTGGATTGTATGCGTGGTGTGTATGCGTGGTGTGTGGTGTGTGTGCGTGGTGTGTGTGTGGTGTGTGTGGTGTGTGTGTGTGGTGTGTGTGTGGTGTGTGTGGTGTGTATGCGTGGTGTGTGTGGTGTGTGTGTGTGGTGTGTGCGTGGTGTGTATGCGTGGTGTGTGTGGTGTGTGTATGCGTGGTGTGTATGCGTGGTGTGTGTGGTGTGTGTGTGTGCGTGGTGTGTATGCGTGGTGTGTGTGGTGTGTGTGTGTGGTGTGTATGCGTGGTGTGTGTGGTGTGTGTGCGTGGTGTGTGTGGTGTGTGTGTGCGTGGTGTGTGTGTGGTGTGTGTGCGTGGTGTGTGTGGTGTGTGTGCGTGGTGTGTGTGGTGTGTGTGTGCGTGGTGTGTGTGTGGTGTGTGTGCGTGGTGTGTGTGGTGTGTGTGTGGTGTGTGTGCGTTGTGTGTGCGTGGTGTGTGCGTTCGCGTGAGATCTACACGCCTCAAACGAGTTCCTGGTGCGGTGTGTAAAGCATCGCCGCTGGGGAGACAAAGGCGGCCGTGGCGCGGTCCTGGCCACCCCCCCCCCCCCCCGTGTGCCCTGGCGGCCTTCATAGTAGGGCTGAACGATTAATCGATTTCAAATCGAAATCGCAATTTGAAACACTGCGATTAGCAAATCGCAAAGGCTGCGATTTTTTTGCCATTTGAAAAGTCCGATTACTTGCTTATTGGAATTGTTTTATTATTTATTATTATAACTTTATTTATTTAACTTAACACTTGTTCTATGTTTGAGTGTTCTATTTCAATTAAAACATTTTAATAAATACATGTTGGAAGCAATTAATCTATTTTAAGTTCTCATCCTTGCATTAGAATATATAGAGCAGTTCATATTTTGATGGTATCACGTGGTAATGCTCCATCACATGTTTAAAATATATTACACAGTGAATATTGAACTGAAGCTTGACTTACTAAATTTTTATCGCAAATCAAATCGCAATATCTGTCACGAAAAAATCGCAATGAGAATATAAAGAGCAGTTCATATTTTGATGGTATCACGTGGTAATGCTCCATCACATGTTTTAAATATATTACACAGTGAATATTGAACTGAAGCTTGACTTACTAAATTTTTATCGCAAATCAAATCGCAATATCTGTCACGAAAAAATCGCAATGAGAATATAAAGAGCAGTTCATATTTTGATGGTATCACGTGGAAATGCTCCATCGCGTGTTTTACATCTATTACGCAGTGAATATTGAACTGCAGCTTGACTTACAAAAAATGTAATCGCAAATCAAATTGCAATATCTGTCAGAAAAATCGCAATTAGACATTTTCCCCAAATCGTCCAGCCCTACCTCATCGTTGCTGCTCGCGGGCAGCACTTGCCCCCAGCAGTCTGTCACAGGCTACACGGGGGGTGACCGCAGCCTTTACCTTCGTGGACACGCGTGCAGAATGCTGCGTCCGTACGTGGCGCGGTCTGCGCACGGTACGCCCGACATCGCATTGTGCGCACACGTGGCGTCAGGGGACGTGTTCGTTGCAGTACACATGTATTGCATGCGCTGGCATAGCTGCGTGCGGGGAGCGGTGGTGCAGCGGTTAGCGCGCTGCGCTACGAACCCGGCGACCCGGGTTCGATTCCCGCTTCACGGCCAACACACACGGTGACGATTGTCTGAACCGGTGCTGGGCCTCCCCTGGGTCGACGCGGCCTCAAATGAGTACCTGGTTGCGGTGCGTAGTAAACATCGCCACCGGGGAGACGAAGGCGGCCGGGCGTGGTGTTGGCCACACGCCCCCTCGTGTGCCGTGCCGGCCTTAATAGGTGCTCGCTAACAGCACTTGCCCCTACAGTCTTTTAAGGCTATACGGGGGATCTTTGTCTTTTTTTGCAAGACCTGAGAACCCCTTATCAGTGCCCAAACTCATTACGGACCAATTCAGACCTCTTTGGTCACCCCCGTGCTCCTTATAAATCCCAATGTTCATCCGACGACAAAGTCCCGTCACATGGAGAGACACACAAACACACAGACAACGCATTTTTGTTGCCCGTAGTGAAACGGCTGTACCCCGCGTGGACCTGAAAAACCCAATGCCCCTGTACAAAGAATACGGGGTACACCGTGATGGGTTGACAGCTGTGCATTAGGCTCTCGCTAGTGTATACCATGCGCACACGTGGAATGCGTGCAATGTGTGTGTGTGAGTACAATCACGATGCAGTACATAACACGATGCAGTGCGTACTCTGTTGCACGTTGTGACATGCGGTGTCCGACAGCGTGACGTGTTTATGGGTTTGCGTTTGTGTATTTGTGTCGGAGTCTTCTCTGTTTGTGTGTTTGTGTCTGTATGTTTGTGTCATTTTGTCTTTGTGTCTTTGTGTTCGTGTAATTTGTGTTTGTGTCTTTGTTTCGGTGTCTTCTTTGTTTGTGTCTGTTGTTTGTGCATGTGTGTTTGTGTCTCTGTGTTTGTGTCTGTATGTTTGTGTCCTTGTGTCTGTGTCTTTGTATTTGCGTCTTTGTGTTTGTGTATTTGTGTCTGTGTTTGTGCCTGCGTGTTTGTGTCTGTGTCGTTGTGTTTGTGTCTTTGTGTTTGTGTCTTCATGTTTGTGTCTTTGTGTTTGCGTCTGTTTGTCGCTCCCCCACCCCTCCTGTGCAAAAAACAAAGAGCTTTACAGCTCATCGGATTCCTCCCGCACTATAAAAGCAAAATTCTGATTCTGACGCAGTATATCGTGGGCATATGCACGGTCACGCGTACATGTGGGGTTTAAACATCGGTGTGTACGCCGATGTAACGGGGAGAGGTGGTGCAGCGGTTAGCGCTACGCAGCGCTACGGACCGGTGACGATTGTCTGAACCGGTTACCTGGGCCTCCCCTAGGTCGACTCAGCCTCAAATGAGGACCTGGGTGCGGTGCGTAAAAAAAACATCGCCACTGGGGGAGACAAAGGCGGCCGTGGCGTGGTGCTGGCCACCCACCCCCTTCGTGTGCCGTGCCGACCTTCAAAGCTGCTCGCTAACAACACTTGCCCCAACAGTCTACCACAAGGCAATGAATGGCATTTTGCGAGAAGTGTAAAATGTTTGCGGCTATCCCTCCACACTCACCTCTCTCTTTCTCTCTGTGTGTCTCTCTTCCTCTGTCTGCCGATTCTGAGCTCAGCGCAGCAGTCCCCCCACGGCTCCCTTCGCGTCTCCGTGCATCAACAGAGGCGCGCCGGGGATTAAATGAAGCTGCCTCGCCCCCTCACTCGCCCCACCGCAACCCTCAACCACAATCCTCCTCCTCATGCTCCCTCCAGCGCCTCCACCCCCCCCCCTAGCCCCCCTCCCCACTCTCACTCACGTCACCCCCCCCACCACCACCACCACCACCAGCCACCCCACCCACCCCACCCACCTACCCCGGCGACTCACTTTCGCCCACCCTTCATCGCGACTCTCGCATGCGCAATACCACCGCCGTCCAAGCCAAACCCCTTGGCCCTAAACCAAACTCCTCTATCAATATTCACCACCGGGACGCGAATCCTTTACACACCCCCACCCACCCCCCCACCCACCCACCCACCCCCCCGTTTTTTTTTCGCTGCGAGCCACCCAGACCGCAGCAGCAGCGGGAGCGACCACCACCCCAAGCCACCTCCCTCTGCGGCCGTCTGGAAAGCGCGCGTGCTTTCGATGTTGGAAAGCCCACTGCGGGCTGTGCGCTCTTGAACCACACCACGTCGAAAACTAACTTTCTATAAATTTCGATTCTTTTATTATTTCCCTTCTACGTGACTTTACCGAAAGAAAGCAAGAAGATGAATCCATGCAGTCACGAAAGCTTTAACATCGAAATTTATAAGAAAAATAAAACATAATGAAAACAAGATTTTAGTATGTTTTATTTTTCTTATTTTATTATTTCCCGTCTACGTGACTTTACCGAAAGAACCAAGAAGATAACTTTCTATAGACGCGCTTTCTGTGGTGAGTTTTGTTGCGCGGTTGGCTACGTACGGTGTGAAATAAGTTCAGCAACATACATACTTAGACTCACACATGAAACCCATAGACTCACACAGAGACCCATAGACTCGCACAGAGACCCACAGACTCACAAAGAGACCCACAGACACCCACACAGAGACCCATAGACTTACACAGAGACCCACAGACTCACAAAGAGACCCACAGACACCCACACAGAGACCCATAGACTTACACAGAGACCCATAGACTCACACAGAGACCCATAGACTCACACAGAGACCCATAGACTCACACAGAGACCCACAGACTCGCACAGAGACCCATAGACTCACACAGATACCCATAGACTCACACAGAGACCCATAGACTCGCACAGAGACCCATAGACTCACACAGATACCCATAGACTCACACAGAGACCCATAGACTCACACAGATACCCATAGACTCACACAGAGACCCATAGACTCGCACAGAGACCCATAGACTCACACAGAGACCCATAGACTCACAGAGATACCCACAGACTCACACAGAGACCCACAGACTTTCACAGAGACCCATAGACTCACACATAGACCCACAGACTCACACATAGACCCACAGACTCACACAGAGACCCACAGACTCACACAGAGACCCATAGACTCACACAGAGACCCGTAGACTCACACAGATACCCATACACTCACAGAGAGACCCACAGACTCACACATAGACCTACAGACTCACACATAGACCAACAGACTCACACATAGACCCACAGACTCACACATAGACCCATAGACTCACACATAGACCCACAGACTCACACATAGACCCACAGACTCACACATAGACCCAGAGACACACACATAGACCCACAGACTCACACATAGACCCACAGACTCACACATAGACCCACAGACTCACACATAGACCCAGAGACACACACATAGACCCACAGACTCACACATAGACCCATAGACTCACACATAGACCAATAGACTCACACATAGACCCACAGACTCACACATAGATCCAGAGACACACACATAGACCCACAGACTCACACATAGACCCATAGACTCACACAGATACCTACAGACTCACACATAGACCCACAGACTCACACAGAGACCCATAAAATCACACAGAGACCCATAGAATGACACATAGACCCACAGACTCACACATAGACCCATAGACTCACACATAGACCCACAGACTCACACGTAGACCCACAGACTCACACATAGACCCACAGACTCACACGTAGACCCACAGACTCACACATAGACCCATAGACTCACACAGATACCCACAGACTCACACAGAGGCCCACAGACTCACACAGATACCCATAGACTCACACAGAGACCCACATACTCACACATAGACCCACAGACTCACACAGAGACCCATAGACTCACACAGAGACCCACAGACTCACACATAGACCCATAAACTCGCACAGAGACCCACAGGCTCACACATAGACCCATATACTCACACAGAGACCCATAAACTCACACAGAGACCCACAGACTCACACAGAGACCCATAAACTCACACAGAGACCCATAGACTCACACAGAGACCCACAGACTCACACAGAGACCCATAGACTCACACAGAGACCCCATAGACTCACACAGAGACCCATAGATTCACACAGAGATCCATAGACTCTCACAGAGACCCATAGACTCACACAGAGACCCACAGACTCACACAGAGACCCACAGACTCACACATAGACCCACAGACTCACACAGAGACCCATAAACTCGCACAGAGACCCACAGGCTCACACATAGACCCATAGACTCACACAGAGACCCATAAACTCACACAGAGACCCACAGACTCACACAGAGACCCATAAACTCACACAGAGACCCATAGACTCACACAGAGACCCACAGACTCACACAGAGACCCATAGACTCACACAGAGACCCATAGACTCACACAGAGACCCATAGATTCACACAGAGATCCATAGACTCTCACAGAGACCCATAGACTCACACAGAGACCCACAGACTCACACAGAGACCCACAGACTCACACATAGACCCACAGACTCACACAGAGACCCACAGACTCACACAGAGACCCACAGACTCACACATAGCCCCACAGACTCACACAGATACCCATAGACTCACGCAGAGACCCACAGACTCACACAGAGACCCACAGGCTCACACAGAGACCCATAGACTCACACAGAGACCCACAGACTCACACAGAGACCCATAGACTCACACAGAGACCCATAGACTCACACAGAGACCCACAGACTCACAGAGAGACCCATAGACTCACACAGAGGCCCACAGAGTCACAAAGAGACCCATAGAGTGAGTCGATAGGTCTCTGTGTGAGTCTATGGGTCTCTGTGTGAGTCTATGGGTCTCTGTGTGAGTGTATGGGTCTCTGCGTGAGTCTATGGGCTCTCTGTGAGTCTATGGGTCTCTGTGTGCGTCTACGGGTCTCTGTGTGAGTGTATGGGTATCTGTGTGAGTCTACGGGTCTCTGTGTGAGTGTATGGTTGTCTGTGTGAGTCTATGGGTCTCTGTGTGAGTCTATGGGTCTCTGCGTGAGTCTATGGGTCTCTCTGTGAGTCTATGGGTCTCTGTGTTCGTCTACGGGTCTCTGTGTGAGTGTATGGGTATCTGTGTGAGTCTCCGGGTCTCTGTGTGAGTCTATGGGTCTCTGCGGGAATCTATGGGTCTCTGTGTGAGTCTATGGGTCTCTGCGTGAGTCTATGGGTCTCTGTGTGAGTCTTTGGGTCTCTGTTTGATGCTATGGGTCTCTGTGTGAGTCTGTGGGTCTTTCTGTGAGTCTATGGGTCTCTGTGTGAGTCTATGGGTCTCTGTGTGAGTCTGTGGGTCTCTGCGTGAGTCTGTGGGTCTCTGTGTGAGTCTGTGGGTCTCTGTGTGAGTCTGTGGGTCCCTGTGTCAGTCTGTGGGTCTCTGTGTGAGTCTATGGGTCTCTGTGTGAGTCTGTGGGTCTCTGTGTGAGTCTGTGCGTCTCTGTGTGAGTCTGTGCGTCTCTGTGTGAGTCTGTGGGTCTCTGTGCGAGTCTGTGGGTCTCTTTGTGTATGTTGAACTTCTTTCGCACCCTACGTCGCCAACCATTCTGACCGCAGGTGCAGGGAGCAAGGCAACAGCATGCGTACCCATGGACGCATAAGTGGCAATTGAAATCGGATGCTGACCAGCTGTGCCTCCCCTAGGTCAGCTCAGCCTAAAACACACTCCTGGAACGCAGTGGTCATTGACAACGATGTCGCCGCCCCCGTTGTTGTTGTTATAGTCCACGGGCATTGAGTGGTCACCGCCTTGTTAACGTTTCTCGGTGTCTTCGGCGTCTCGTTGTCTCCGTGTCCCGCGTGTGCACGTGTCTCCCCTTTCTCTCGGCGGCTGCCTTCCTCCAGGACGGCCTCGCCTGATCGTCGCGTCCGCGGTGTGGCATGCCGAGTGGGATGAATGCAGCACGCGGGCAATCATCGCCCGCGACTCATGGGCACAGTCATGTACACGGGTCACTCTTGCGAATGAGACTCATCATCCCGGCCCCTGGAGTTCCCAGCCGGTTAAACTAAGTAAACAGCGAAACTTGAGACTCGAATCACTGAGCCCCAACGTTCTGCTGTAAGTGGCTATGAGTGATTAATCATCATCATAATCATCATTATCGTCATTAAATTGCGCTCATTAGGCACTTGACCTCTGTCAAAGGTCTCAGAGACACGTGTGTGAGTGAGTGTGTGAGTGAGTGTGTGAGTGAGTGAGTGTGAGTGTGTGAGTGAGTGTGTGAGTGAGTGTGTGGGTGAGTGTGTGAGTGAGTGTGTGTGTGAGTGTGTGTGAGTGTGTGAGTGAGTGTGTGAATGTGTGAGTGTGTGAGTGTGTGTTAGTGTGTGTGAGTGTGTGAGTGAGTGTGTGAGGGAGTGAGTGTGTGGGTGAGTGAGTGTGTGAGTGAGTGTGTAAGTGAGTGAGTGTGTGTGAGTGTGTGAGTGAGTGTGTGAGTGAGTGAGTGTGTGAGAGGGTGTGTGTGTAAGTGTGTGCGTGAGTGTGTGTGAGTGTGTGAGTGAGTGTGTGAGTGAGTGAGTGTGTGAGTGAGTGTGTGTGTGAGTGAGCCAGTGTTGTGTGTGTGAGTGAGCCAGTGGTGTGTGAGTGTGTGAGTGAGTGTGTGAGTGAGTGAGTGTGTGAGTGAGTGAGTGTGTGAGTGAGTGTGTGTGTGAGTGAGCCAGTGTTGTGTGTGTGAGTGAGCCAGTGGT